CTGTTTGGGATAATTAGGTCTGTCTCCGTCTGTTTGTCTCTTCCTGCCGTGACGCTGCTGGTGCTGTGGTTTATTCTGGCCCAGATCAAAAAAGAACTGGGATGCTGGTTCCTCCTGAAAAAAAAGTTCAAATGATCTTTTCACTGAAATAAGGTACACTACGAAAGAGCCTTCTTTTTTTTTTAAAAAAAAAGCAAGGATGCACTGAATTACTCAAAAGTGACAGTAAAGACAATAATAATGTTTTAACAGATTTCCATTCAAATACATACTGTTCTTGTTTTTAAAATTTATTTTTGGCGTATTTGCCTTTTTATTATGAAAGGACAGTATATGAGACAGGAGAGAAATAGAGGGGGGGATGGAATCAAGAAAGGTCCACAAGCCGGGACCCAAAGTGCAACAGCGCTATATGTTGGTGCATTGCGCTTGAGGCTATTAGTGCCATACATAGTTCTTTTGAACTTTCTTTTCATCAAATAAATCCTGAAAAAAAAGGCATCATGCTTTTCCACAAAAACTGATAATAATAAAAGTTTTTTTGAGCAGCAAATCAGCATATCAGAATGATTTCTGAAGGATAATGTGACACTGAAGACTGGAGTGCCATGGAATGCCATCACAGAAATAAATGACATTTTAAAATATATTCTAATAGAAAACAGTTATTTTAAATTATAATATTTTTTTCACAAAATTTCTCTATTTTTGATCAAATAAATACAGCCTTGGTAAACATAAGAGATTTCTTTAAAAACTAAAAAAAAAAAAAAATCTCACTGACTCCAACCTAATATACTTGCATATATTAACTATATGCAAGTAAAAACTGCACACACAAACCTCTGTGCCTGTCATAGAGGGTGGCGGTTTTTCTTTCTTCCCATCTTTCATAGGTTTCCTGTAGGGATTTTCTGTGACATCCTGAGGCTGCTTGACTAACTCTGCAGGATCCATGTTTTTCATCGGGACAATGTTGAACGCATACAAATACTATAAGAGAAGATCAACTTTACAGTTAAACCACAAATTCATTCTCTCTAGTAATTAGTTTCATGTTAAGGCTTATATTAAAATTCGATTTCCTCTAAAATTTAAAAATGAAACACTAAAAACTAAAAATCAATGCTACAAGTGAATTCAGCTATGATAATATTATAATACGCAGTATAAAATATAGATGTTAATTCTGAGATTTGCTAAACATTAAACTTGTGTTAATGAATTAATGTTTTTAAAATTACATTTAAGCAATGCTATTATTAACTAAAACTTTTTTAAAAAATCATTTGAAATAGAGCTGAAATTAAATATAGCAACTAAAAGAAAATAACTTCTAAAATTAAAAACAAAAAAGACACATTTAATACAACCAAAACTAATAAAAATGACAAAAACACAAAATTACAATAATAAGTAAAACTTTACCAAAAAAAACAAAAAACGCACACCTTCTTTTTGGTAGGATTGTTGACAGTTGCCAAAGCGATGAATCTACTGACATGCTGAGCATTCTCTTGAAGGACCACATGATTCCTGCAAATTCATACACATTTTGTAAAACAAATATCATCTGAAAAGCAAAACATATCCTAATGCTGTAATGCCACACCTGTAAGGCAGCCTCTCATAATGCACCGCTTCCAGTCCCGCAAAATGGTAGCGGGGCTTCAGCTTGTCGGCGAGATCTGCGATGGACGAAACCCCACAAAACTTTGTATCAGTTTCCTACAAAAGGGCAAGAAGGTAAAAGACCCCTTGAGCACACATTCATGAAATTCCTGCAAAACTGATCCAAATGTATTAAAGGAGCCCAACAAGGCACTGACGGGACTGTTTCCATACTGCCATACGCCTCGAGGCCACTGCGAGGTCAGGAGAATGTCCACTCCTCGAAATTTGGAGTTAGACAGAAGCGGGGCCACCAGGGCAGTGATGTCTTTAGAGGTGAAGCAGTGTGAGGGAGCAGGTTCATGTTGAGCTTCTCTGCCACTGACATAGGCGATCTGAAGCCCCGATGCCCCTGTGAAAATGCCTCTTCGACCTGTGCAAAAAAAAAAAAGGCATACTTGTTTAACTCAAATTGAGAGTTTCATTTTTAAGCATTACACAACCCTGCACCATATTTGCTGAATGAAATCCAATACTTGTTTCTTACTAATTTTGGGATGCTGACTGGAAAAATAGTGGCCGTTTTGCTCTAGCATGTCACACGTTCTCAGTTACAAAATATGATGTGCATTTCATATCATTTTTGCTTTTGACAACCACTTGCAAAGTGAAGTAGTTTTGTATTAATCACCAGAACCACGTCCACAAAGATTTTTAAATTTATGAATGATTCTCAAGACATTATTTTATGCCTAATCATGAGCTTCAAGGTTAGAATTTTGGCCAGTGACAGAAGAAAACGCATATATTACCCAGATGTTTTTGCTACATCTGTGAGTGTTTTACTACATCCAAACAGTGACATAAAAGTGAAAAAAGCTTGTGCATTTACAAACTTATGTAAAGTTGAATGCACTCAATGGAGTATTTGAATTTTTTTCACTCCTTTACAGATTGTAAGTTAAATGATACATTTTGAGTGTAACATCTGACTGATTTTGTTATTTTTATAAGTGCATTAAAGCTTGCAAAACTTATGTTTTTGAATTTAGCATTTTCATATTGGTTTTTTGAAATTGTGCTGAATTTTTTTTTCAAGACGCAGGGCTGTGTTATGGATCTATCTTTTTAAAATTAATTTTCACTTATTTGCAAATCAAGAACATCTACCAGAACCACAATCGACAAAAACGAAGAAAAAAATAAGTTGAATGAATGAATAAATAAATACACATATATATATATATATATATATATATGCCTCACAATACATACATTTATACACTACAAGCCAACACAAAATTGCAAATACTTATGTCTTCTACTGATGGAAGGTTATAGATCAATCTTACCCAAACATGTGATGTTTTCTGCCAACTCACAGCCATCAGAGTTTGGGAAATACTTCACAGTCTCTTGGCTGGCTGCACCGAGAATGTATGTGTGAATGGGTGCTGGGGGATTAGAAAACACTAACTAATTCAGTATAGTGCTTGGTGTGATAAAAAAAAAATCTATTTAAACCTAAAAGGAAACCTTACCCTTTTTGGCACCAGATTTGTATGCTTCCCATTCTGCTTCAGCCTCAGGAGAATTTCCAAAAAATTCACCAACACACAGCAGCAACTGAAAAACAACATTATCAAATTAAGCCCACAGCTGGCTCTTATGCTTGTCGCTTTAAAATAAGAGATACACGTGCAGACTCACATCAAATTGCCCGCTCTTTTTCTGAATGGCGTTCACCCGGTTGAACAAAGCATTTATTCTTCCTTCAACGTCACCACTTGCGAGTCTGAGAGGGAATGAAATATAAAAACAGCGTGGACACACAAAAACACGTGAGTCTTTTACACGCACACTTCTATCTATTCTGTTTATTATGACTGTAAATCACTGATTACGAGCCAACTAACATTCACATATGCCCCCTTTCAACCCAAAAGCAACACTTACACTCGTAAAGGCTTATCTCCCATACCGAATAGTATATAAATGTTCTTAAAGATTCTTAAAATTAATGTCTCTTGTGTCCGAGCATTGGAGTTAAAACTGTGTGTGTCGACAAAATAAACCCTGTCAGAAAAGAGAGTAAACGATTTCGGCCGCCTATTTATGAAATATACACCTTAAGGAGAAACTTAGTTTTTTTTAAGTGCTAAAAATTATTAAATGCATTTGATCAACTACATTATATAAAGTATAGAATTTATAAACGCGATAATAAATTACAAACCTAAAACCACATCAAGTTTCTCTCCGGAGGAAATACAAAGGTGGTACAGTAAAAGCGTATTAAACGCCTCAAGTATGCGCACATTATTCGCAATATCAGCGCCACCGATTATCACTTTATAGAATACTATCTGTTAAATTACACATTTATAATGCATATTAACAACCTATTATACAACCTAAAATATGTTATTCTAACGCGTTAATCTAACATTTTCATATAACGTATATCAAAACACATACCACTGCGCAAAACTGGGACGAGCAGGACGCAACGTGACGCAATACAAACCACAAGACCAAAACAGGAACTGATTTACATTTGAAAACCCGAAGTGCAGAATGTAATAAACGACAATAAACTGCCATATTATTTAAACTACAACAACGATTTCTATAAGAGCTGCGTTGAAATAAGTGCAAATGGATCGCAAGTGCAAATTAGCTGACTGATTAAACCTGCCAAATGAAATATATCTAAACAGGCAGATTGATCCATAAAGCATTATTCCTTTAGTGTATGTAGACCATCCGTTTGTTTGCGTTTGCGTCTGCAAATGACGTGCTTGTTTATGAAACATATGCATGCACGTGAGCTGAATGCGCTGAACATTTCCATATATAGGCGTTTGGCATCAAGCGCTTCTAATCGCAGCTGAACAACAAGCGCTGATCCCAGAACGGCAGACATGACATCCCCCGAGCAGATCATCGAGATCGTGATGGATGACAAAACGTACAATGTGAGTAAAAGCAAACTGATCGAGAAGAGCGATTACTTCCGCGCGCTGTACAGCTCCGGGATGCGCGAGTCAGCGGAGGACTCGGTGCAGCTGCGGGGACTGAGCGCGCCGGGGCTCGAGCTGGTGCTGGAGTTCATCAACACCTCCAAAGTTCAGGTGGCCAACGAGACTCTGGAGGACCTGATCGAAACCGCATCCTTCCTGCAGGTCACTTCCATTTTAAAGCTGCTGCTGTCGGAAATCAAGCAGGAGAACTGCGTCGAGCTCTTCAAGCTCTCGGACGTCTACGGGATGCATGATCTCAGAAAAGCTTGTTTGAAATTCATGAGCTGCTATTATCATCCCATGCTGCGCAGGCCGGAGTTCAGGATGTTGCCAGCTCCTCTGCGGGATCAGGTCTCTAATCGCAGCTGAACAACAAGCGCTGATCCCAGAACGGCAGACATGACATCCCCCGAGCAGATCATCGAGATCGTGATGGATGACAAAACGTACAATGTGAGTAAAAGCAAACTGATCGAGAAGAGCGATTACTTCCGCGCGCTGTACAGCTCCGGGATGCGCGAGTCAGCGGAGGACTCGGTGCAGCTGCGGGGACTGAGCGCGCCGGGGCTCGAGCTGGTGCTGGAGTTCATCAACACCTCCAAAGTTCAGGTGGCCAACGAGACTCTGGAGGACCTGATCGAAACCGCATCCTTCCTGCAGGTCACTTCCATTTTAAAGCTGCTGCTGTCGGAAATCAAGCAGGAGAACTGCGTCGAGCTCTTCAAGCTCTCGGACGTCTACGGGATGCATGATCTCAGAAAAGCTTGTTTGAAATTCATGAGCTGCTATTATCATCCCATGCTGCGCAGGCCGGAGTTCAGGATGTTGCCAGCTCCTCTGCGGGATCAGGTCCGAGATATGCGCATGAAAGGCACGGCCACTTTAGTTGCAATAGGAGATTTCACTGACACCTGTCTGGACTTGGCAAATCAAGACGAGCCTTGGTCTATGTTGAGGTATAATGAGTTAGAACAACGCTGGAAACCTCTAGCCAACAATCTTCCTCAGGACATGATCAATGTCCGAGGATACGGATCTGCTGTGCTGGACAACTACTTGTTCATTGTTGGTGGATACAGAATGACAAGTCAGGAGATCTCTGTGGCCCACTGCTACAACCCCTGCAAGAATGAGTGGAACCATGTGGCGCCTTTGAACCAGAAGAGGTACAATTCACTCTTGATCTGGCCATTTATTGTGGTTTGTCCAGTGCAAGTAAGTGCTCTTTCTGTGTCCAGATCCAACTTCAAGCTCCTGGCTGTGAGTGGGAAGCTGTATGCGGTTGGAGGTCACTGTCTGAGTACGGTGGAGTGTTATAGTCCAGAGCAGGACTGGTGGACGTGTGTGGCGTCTCTGCCTGATCCTCTCGCTGAGTTCTCTGCCTGTGAGTGTCAGGGCATGATCTACGTCATGGGCGGTTATACCTCTAGAGGTGTGTTTTCCTGAGAGATGGGTTCATTCACCAACACATACACACACACAATTACTTTCTTATGTTCTTGGTCTTATATTGTGGTTAATTAATCTCTGTGTGTTTTTCCAAAGAAAAAATGCTTGTCTTTACTTACCTTACTTATGAAACTTTTTTCCGGTTTCTCTTATTTTTAAACTAGATTTTTTCTCCTTTTTTCCCTAATTTATCGGTATCAACTAGCGTAGGATATCTGATCCTCTTATTTAAGATATTCTAACATTTAGATTACATTTTCCTCCATTTAACACTTCATCTTTAAAACATTAATTATAATCTTTATCAAATCACAAAATGAATATCCATATTCATATCCATACATCAATATGTATTGTGCATTATAAATAAATATACATTACAAAAGATATATATTGTATATTATAATGCTGTGATGCTTAATTCACTTTGTCATATTTAATATACTTGTTGTAAAATAGTGTAGAATTTGTATTACTACACGGTTATTTAGCAGTTAGTGATCATAACAAAAAAAATTGTCGCTATTTGCCATAATTTTAGTAAAGGTACAAAATTACCTTTGAGTGAGTATTAGATTATGGCAAAGGTAGCAGCAAAAATATGGGAAATTATGATAAAATATATTAAATGATTATTATTTAATTTAACAGCATCGCCCAATATTTAATATATTTTATTGTGCTTTCTCATTTACCCTTTTTTTACTTTTAGATAATTGTTGCCATCATCTAACACTCCAAGGCCTGGTTTCACAGACAGGGTTTAGACTAGGATTAGGCCATAGTTCAATTAGGACATTTAAATAATTTTTATAAACATGCCTTAGAAAAAACATTACTGCTGTGCATCTTGAGACGAAACAAAGGCACTGATATATTTTTATAAAGTTTCTTTCAGTTGAAACAGCTCAGACTTACATTTTAGTCTGGGACTAGCCTTAAGGCTTGTCTGTGAAACCAGGGGAAAGATTATTAAAATTATGTCTAATAATATAATTATATATTATGGCCGATAACTGTTAAATAGCCAATAACCTACCAATATATTGTGTGTCTGACAGTGAAAACGTCTTAAAAATTGCACCAAAAAATTTCAAAATGATGATTTTTATTTGTTATGGAATACTGTGCTTATTTTAAAGGATGTCATTTATGTTGGACAATAATCCCTCGTCTCCATCAACCTGTCACTCACAACCATTAGCAAACAACAACGATTCAGTCAATTCTTGATGGACAAAAGTCTGGTCCTACATTTGAGAAGCCATTCATCTCAGATACTGTAGATACATCTTAGTAGGGAAGAAAAGCAACTGCAATTTCCTTTAAATTACTACATTAAAATGATCTTTTATGATTCAGTCATCTCAGTGTTTTTCTCCTAATGTCTGACAGATAGGAACACCAATGTACTGCGTTACTGCCCCGCCTCAGACACATGGTCCGTGTTCCGTTCCTGTTCGGCTCATGTGCGCAAGCAGCAGATGCTCTCAGTGGAGGACACCATCTACCTGGTGGGTGGCTACACACACGAGCTAGAACCTGCAGAACTGGGGCGGCGGAGACTCAGCCAGACGGAGGACATGCTGACGGTACAGTCCTACAACGTGCAGACGGGAGAATGGTTGCAGCTTAAGGAAAACACATCAAAGTCTGGCTTAAACCTCACCTGCACGCTGCACAACGACGGCATCTACATTATGAGCAGAGATGTCAGCCTGCCCACCAGCCTGGAGCACCGCGTCTTCCTCAAGTACAACATTTTCTCAGATGCCTGGGAGGCTTTCAGACGTTTTCCTGCTCTGGGACAGAACATGCTGCTTTGCTCTCTCTATTTACCCAATGTCCTATGAGCCACATTGTTCACGCTCTGGGCATCTGGAGAAGACTGCAGACTGCTGGGAGCACCGATTTTGTTGTAGCGAGCCCAGCCAGGTCAGAAGTGGCAAGTTTGCTAGAGGTTTACCACAACGCTTTACTAGATCGGATTGATCAACCAACACAAAGAACCTGCAGGAGACATTAAAGGAATAATATAGCCAAAAAATGAAAATTTGGTCATTATTTACTCCCCCTCAAACTGTGAGACTTTTAAGAGAGCGTCTGAAACATTTTTTAACATTCAGCTTTTGTGTTTCATGGAAGGAAAAAGTCACATAGGTTTGAAACAACATGTAAGTGAGAAAATGATAAATAATGACAGATTTATTTTGGTGAAATAGTCATTTAAATGATTATTTCTAAATAAAGGTCAACAGTTTGACTTTGATTATTAAAATCAGAAGTCAAAAAACCTCAATATTGAAAGGAATAGTTCCCCCAAAAATGAAAGTTTGCTTAAAATTCACTCACCCTCAGGCCATTCAAGATACAGATGAGTTTAATTCTTTATCGGAACAGATTCAGAGAAATGTATTCAGCATTACATCTCTTGCTCACCAGTGGATCCTCTGCAGTGAATGGGTGCCGTCAGAATGAGAGTCCAAACAGCTGATAACAACATCACAGGAATCCACAAGTAATTCACACGCCTCCAGTCCATCAATTACCATCTTGTGAAGCTAAAAGCTTTGTGTTTGTAATAAACAAATCCACCATTAAGGAATTTTAACTTTAAAATTCAAGTCCATAATCCTAATCACTTCCTCCAGTGAAAAATTTCATTCCCTCTTGCCCTCTCACATCAAAACACATTTGTTTAGAACGGTTTTAGACTTGTAAACAGTGCTTGATCTGTGCATATTTCTCTTCTGATTCTGACAAGATGGCTTTTTCACTGGATAAAGCAATATTATAGATAGATGAATCATATCTTTAGCCAGAAGCAACAGTTTGTAGTTTAAAAACATCTTGATGGATTTGTTCGTTACAAACACAGCCTTTTTTCACTTTACAAGATGTTGGTTGATGGACTGGAGTCACATAGGTTACTGTGATGCTCTTATCAGCTGTTTGGACTCTCATTCTGACGGCACCCATTCACTGCAGAGGATCCATTGGTGAGCAAGTGATGTAATGCTAAATTTCTCCAAATCTGTTCTGATGAAGAAACATTTACATCTTGGATGACCTGAGGGTGAGTACATTTTCAGCAAATTTTCATTTTTCGGTGAATTATTCCTTTAATATCTCCATCAGAAGTTCTGTTGAGGTATTCAAAAGCAGTTTTAATATACATGTATAATTTTATTTATCTTGGCAGAAAGAAAGAACACTACAAGAAATGCACCAAACATTTTCAACCTGCACAGAATCTTCTAATGCCAATGCATGAACAGTACCTTAAAGATATATTACATGACATATACAGATTTACTACTACTAATATCCAGATGCACAAGTGAAGGCTTCAGATTTATAAAGCCTGCAGATGAAATGAAAACATTAAACTTGCATAAGCTGATTAAACAACTTAACATGAAGGGTAATTAAAGACATCAAAGAGATAGTTCACTCAAAAATGAAAATTCTGTTATCATTTACTCACATTAATGTCATTCCAAATCTGTGTAAATGTCTCGCCCTTTTTTGTCCATAAAATTAATGTCAGTGGGGTCCAATGTTGTTTTGGACCACACTGACTTCCGTTAAATGGACAAAAACTTACAAATTATTAGAAATATCTTAGTGTTTCGCAGTGGAAAGAAAGCAAAAACACGAGGGTGAGTAAATGCTCAGTGTTAGCATTTTTGGGTGAACTGTGCCTTTAAGATCCAATGAGCCAGACTAAATGGTGATTGTTGAAAATGTTATAAGACTATCTGTGCCTGAAAAAGTCGTTGATTTTTGACTTAATTACACTTTCAATAGTCTTAGTTGAATTATTTCATTCTAAATACTGTATATCTGGAGAAGTGTCTTAAACTGTTCTGCACAAATGAAGCACAAATACATAAGCGCCTGACCTAACCGCTGTGATGTATTTTTGCATTAGGCTGAGTGAGATGACTTGCTGAGATGTTATTTTGAAAGAAAAGGAGATTAATTTTATTTTAAGTGTTCCATTTACTTTTGGTTTTATAACCTTTAGATTATTTTTCATATGTTGAGCCAAAATGGATGATGGTTTTGTTGAGCATTCCCAAGTTGCCTTGAAAATGTAAAGGAGTAAGTTAAATAAAAATGTTCAGGGAAGCAAATAAAAGGATTTATATTACTTATTTCTTTTTGTGTCTCTGTTTTTACCTTTATGCATTCAAAATGTCACTTGTCCTTCTTAGTGAGGTCACCTTCTGTTGTTGTCCTGACAGAGGAAGTCAATGCATAATCGGCTGTCCATAGACATACTGCAACGTCCTATCAGTCAGATCAGCTGTGTCATTGTTGCAGCAAATGGGTGAGATGCATCGGATGAACTCATTGTCTTTGAATCAGACCGTTGTCCACTTTCTGTCCTTCATTCATTGTCTTGGCATCTGCACTGTAGATTCTGTCCTGTGTCTCATAGCATGTGTATGTCCTGGAATGACTCTGGTCACTGGGTCTTAAAGTTGAGCAGATGTCCCAGCAAAGACAAGCCACCTGCAGAGATAATGGTGGGGCAATGGATGGCCAGTGGTGGTTAAGTGTGACAAATTAGTTATCAAACATACTGATAGAAATACATGTTTAAAATTAGTAAGTGGCAACATGATTCAGATGATCGGATATTTAAAAAAATGCAGCTTATGATATAAATGCAATGTTATATTTTTAATAAAGCTGAATTTAGTCAAATTAAACTAAGAGATTCTTACCTGATTTGTTAGACGAACATTTCATCCATGTTTTACAGGCATACAGCAGATAATTTGATTTGAACATATACAAATTTGTTTTCTGCATGTGTTTCTATGACGACAGACTCGAAAAGCATCAGTTCTCTCAGAATGCTTTGGACTTTTACTGTATACTGATGACTAAAGGCAACTGAAGAGAACTGAATTAATTATATAATTAATTACATACATTATAAAACGGGTGTTCTATCTATTGCCAGTACCAAATCCCTTTAGGAATTCAGCAGAAATCAAATAGGTAGGCTGTGAAATCTATAGAAAATAATAATTGTAAGAAATAATGTAAAATTTTTGCCCAATGAACATGTAGCTTTGTAGGACAATAAAAATGTTTTTTT